GAAATCTCCTCTCAGGGGTATGGCCATACTGCAATCTCTTCTCCATTCTTTCAGGATCATCTAGCACTTTGACCTCCACGCTACCTGCTGACCCTGAATATGCCCCTTTCATCCTCAGTACTTAATCAGTAATTATGATTTGTGGATTTTTTCCCCCATATATCTTTGGTACACCACATCTTTTTCTTTTTAATTATTTTTCTTGAAGAGTTATTTAATTTTATTTATTAGTATTATTTTAAATCTGCTATAGGAAATGAGCTCTCACCAGAGTTAGAAAGAGAAAGTGAGATGGGGCCGGCAGGTGGTATGGGAAAGGTACTGGGTTCCCACATGGACAACCACTATTCGAGTCCTGAACCTGGTAGCTTGCTTTCACTTTCTTTTTCTCTGTCAAATTAAAAAAATAAAAATAACAAATGGAATTACATAAATGAATGAATGAATGAATGAATGAATATTTTTTAAAAAGAAAGAGAAAGTGAGAAAGCAAGCCACCAGGTCCGGGACTCAAACTGCAGTTGGCCATATGGAAGTCCAGTGCCTCAACCACTACATCACCTGCTGGCCCCTCGCCATATCCTTCTTATTTCCACAGTTATCACGATTTTCTAGGGTTAAGTCCTGTCTATAAAACAGTTTTCCAACCTCTTCTTACCTCTTCCGTAGATCATTTCATGCCATTGGTGATCATTAGATTCATTTTCTGAAACGCTGTTTTCATCATGTTTTTCTGTGACTTGGTAGTGGAACCAACATTTACTGAACCGTATTTGCCTTCTTTGAAAATGCAAGGTCTATGTAGAACATTGTTTTATACTGTGTTTTCTAGCTTTTTTGTTTTAAGGTTTGCTTCCCAAAGGAGAGTGTAAGCCTCTTGAAAGAACTGTGTCTTAAATTTATATATTGATGTAATTTCTCAAAACATGCTATAGAGTAAAATTATTTAATTCTAAATAATTAATTTGAAATGAAGTCAGTGAAGCAAATAAAATGTTTTAAGTGGAAATGATTGTTTTATTTAGTAATGAAAGAAGTTTTGTTACTTTGTCTTTGAAATGTCAGAATCTGTTGTGTCACATAGGAATTCTTATGCTTCTCATTGAGGTGTGAAGGACTGAGAATATGCCTATGTGAGAGGTCTACAAAGCTCATAGAGGGGCTGGCAGGTGGGGTGGTAGTTGAGGTGCTGAAGTCCCACATGGCTGACTGCGTTTCAAGTCCCAGACCTGGCAGCTTGCTTTCTCACTTTCCCGCTCTCTGTGGTCCAACTAAAATAATAATAATGAATAAAATTAAATAATTCTTTTTTTAAAAAAGTTCATGGAAATTGTATATTATGAAAATGCCATATATAGATTTTTTCTTTTGTTTGTCTTTCAAAAAATTAACTTACGAGACAGCCAGTGGCCTGGTGGTCAAGGCAGCTAGATCCCACATGGCTAATCATGTGGTTCAAGTCCTGGACTCAGGCTTGAGAAACACAGCAGATGTGTTTACCCATGTGCCCACAATCTCAGCAGAAGAGAGAAACGGAGGAAGGGGATTGCATTTTGACTATGTCCCCCCCGGGTACTTTCTCACCTTCCCTCTCTGTCTCTCTCCAGGGAATACATGCCCCTTCTGGCAAAGTTTTTAATTTTTTAAATTAAAAAAAGAAATTTGAAAACAGGGCCGGCAGGTGGCATGGTAGTTAAAAGCGCTGGACTCCCACATGGCTGACTATGGTTCAAGTCCCAGACCTGGAGGCTTGTTTTCTATCTTTCTCTCTCTCTCTCTTTCTCTATGATCAAACTGGAAAATAATAATAATAAATAAATAAAGTTAAATAAAATAATTATTTTAAAAAAATTTAAAAACTTGTACTTGGGACCAGCAGTTGGCATAGTGGTTAAAGCACTGAACTCCCGCATGCTTAACCATGGGTAAAGTCTCAGAGCCGATGCCCTGAAATTCACGCCAGGCATGCATGTTCAAAATCCCAGGAGGAGAATGGAGAAGGGATTGCAGTGTGGCCATGCCCCCCCAGGGAGTGATTTTTCATTTTTTGTCTGTCTCTTTCTGTCTCTCTGGCAAGCGCACATACCCTATAACTAAACTCTCTCAGAAAAAAAATAATAATAACTTTCATTGTCACCATAGATGTTCTCTTTTTATTTTTGGAGAGGTTTTTGCTATAGCGCACGTACGCTCGCCAGAAAGACAGAGACAGACAGAGAGGTAGAAAACAAGAAATCAGACCCCAGGGGAATGGCCATGCCGCAATCCCTTCTCCTCCATTCTCCTCTCAGGATCATGGACACACACATGCTCAGCGTAAGTTTAAGCCATCGGGTCCAGGACTCGAACCGTGGTCAGCTACATGGGAGTTCAGCGACATAGCCATTACACTAACTGCTGGTCCCCAACCATAGATATTCTTGCTTTCTCTGAAATCAGTTTTATAGTTTTCATAAATTTTACCTGAAATATAAATGAATTCACCACTTTTCAACATGAAAAGACACAAGCTTATCAATTGTCTTACTCAAGATGTTACAGGGCAGGGACACCATGCCAGTTGTCTTTGAATAGTGTGACAATAAAACCCAAAAGATAAGGAAGGACCAGTCCCAGAAGTTGGGAATCTTGGAAAGCTCTGCCTCACTCTCGTGACTGTAGCCCCCTTCATCATGCATTTGTATCCTGGCTCGCAGCATACTGCCACACTCACCTCTACCCATGATGAGGCATCAGGGACTATGCAGCCTGTATGTCTGACTCTGTGTTCACCTCAAATCATTGGAGCAGAGAGAGCAGCCTAGGAGTGGGAACACCTTTCCTCTGTCAGTAACACAGCATTTTATTTTTCTGGATTTTCAGGATTAATGTCTGTGTTGGCAGAAATAAGACCGAAGAATGACTTAGGACATCCTTTTTGTGATAATTTGAGATCTGGAGATTGGATGATTGACTATGTCAGTGGCCGGCTTGTTTCACGATCAGGAACTATTGCTGAAGTAAGTAGAGTTTATTCTAATCCAGAAAAAATAAAGGGCACAATAAAAATTATTGGGTCATCAGAAAAGTCATGACATATTTTTCTGTTTTTCTACACAAAAATGCATCATGACTTTTCAGACAACCCACTATATTTCCCCGTTATATGTAACATTTACATTGTTTTCCAACTGAACCATTTTCTTCTCTTTTCATCATCTTTTAGTGCTAGTCATTGGAAATCTGATTGATAGTTTACCAGATAGTAAAGTTGCATGTTCAGATTTACCTCTTAAAATATGCCTTGCCTGTAAGCATACCAAATTAACTGTTTAAATTATTCTTATGACAGGTTGGTAAATGGTTACAGGCCATGTTCTTCTACCTGAAGCAGATCCCACGTTACCTAATTCCATGTTACTTCGATGCTATATTAATTGGTGCATACACCACTCTTCTGGATATAGCATGGAAGCAGATGTCAAGGTATAGCCAAGTACATATGCATGTTTGTGTAGAAACTACATACAAAGGCACTGTGTACATTCTCTTAAAATAGTGAAACATGGGCTGCCCCATATCCCGATAGGCCCCCAATCACACATGGCTTACCATGTTTTGAATCTGACCCCAGCAGCTTGAAAAACACACCAGTCATGTGTACATGCATGCCTAAAATCCCAAGGGGAAGGAGAAATGGAGGAGAAGGGATTGTAGCATAACCATGCCCCATTGAGGGGGATGCTTTCTCCCTCTCCCTTTCTCTGTCTCTCTCTCTCTGGCGAGTACACATGCCTTCCAGCAACTTAAAAAAAGAAGAAGGATACCAAAACAAAGAATTGCTATAGACTCTTAGAGCTGAAAAATTTTATAAGTGAATAGTAAATATATTAACATTCTATAGTCTGGAACATACAAAAACAAACTTAGATATTAGAATCTGTAAAGCTAAAAACACAGTGATGGGAAAATTACATTATACTGTAATATATTACTTCTGTGTATTCATTGACTTCCTAAAATTGATATAATCTGGGACCAGCAGATGGTATAGTGGTTAAGGCACTGGGCTCCCACATGGTGGGCCAGGGTTCAAGTCCCAGAACTCGTCTTCCCAAGGGGAAGGAGAAATGGAGGAGAAGGGATTGTAGCATAACCATGCCCCATTGAGGGGGATGCTTTCTCCCTCTCCCTTTCTCTGTCTCTCTCTCTCTGGCGAGTACACATGCCTTCCAGCAACTTAAAAAAAGAAGAAGGATACCAAAACAAAGAATTGCTATAGACTCTTAGAGCTGAAAAATTTTATAAGTGAATAGTAAATATATTAACATTCTATAGTCTGGAACATACAAAAACAAACTTAGATATTAGAATCTGTAAAGCTAAAAACACAGTGATGGGAAAATTACATTATACTGTAATATATTACTTCTGTGTATTCATTGACTTCCTAAAATTGATATAATCTGGGACCAGCAGATGGTATAGTGGTTAAGGCACTGGGCTCCCACATGGTGGGCCAGGGTTCAAGTCCCAGAACTCGTCTCTTGAAACTCACTCCAGGCATATGAGCATACATACCCAAAATCCCAAGAGGAGATGGAAGAGAAGAGATTGTAGCACAGCCACCCTGCTGGAAGGTGATTTCTCACTTTCCCTCTCACTGTCTCTCTCTGTCTCTAGCAAGTGCACACACCCTATAGTAAAACCTTAAAAGAAAAAATCAATATAATTTTAGAACGCACTTGCACAATTCTTTTTATCATTTTTTATCAATCCAAGGAAAAAATATTCTGCAGTTATTATGAATTAAATTTGCCTTTAATGATGATTTTTCCTTAAACATAACTACAAATTGAAATGTACCCACACAAGTTACGAAATTGATTTGGGCATGATTTCAGAAAGAACAAAACTTCAACCTTACCATTTGTTTCACAACAGGCCATGAACCCAAATAAAGTCTGCTTAAATGATGAAATAAAAGCAGTTTTGAAATCTAACCACATTGAAATATTTTCAGCTGATATTACCACTGTCATACATTGCTTAGAGAAGAAAAGGAAACAAGTACATTAAGCTACTATAAAGTTATGTATTTCTACAAATAATATTTATACTCTCTCATTTTTGTTACAGCTTTGTTCAGAATGGTTCAACCTTCGTAAAACACCTTTCACTGGGCTCAGTCCAAATGTGTGGAGTAGGAAAATTCCCTTCCTTGCCAATTCTGTCACCTTCACTTATGGATGTACCATATAGGTTAAATGAGATCACAAAAGAAAAGGAGCAATGTTGTGTTTCGCTAGCTGCAGGTAAGACACTGGTAAATGGTTACAGGCCCTGTTCTTCCCCCTGAGGCAGAGCCCACGGTACCTTATTCTGTGTGACTTCAGTGCTGGTGTGCATAAGTCAGTAGAGGAAAATTGATGGGAAAAATGGTTCATGTTTTCAAAAACCTGTGATATTATCCAAGATTTTATGTCACTGCTTAGTGAAATGTTTTACATATTCATTAATAAAAATAATAACCACATTTACTAGTTAATTAAAATGGTATACCAGGCATTTATGTGTGTTTTTTTATTGCAACTGGTTATTCCTATTTTGAAGATCTATGCTTTCTTTTCTTTCTTTCTTTCCTTTTTATTATTCTTCTATTCTATTCTACTTTTTTGCCAGAAAGAACATGAGCTCACTAGACAGAAAGAGGGAGAGAGGGGAAAAAGTAAGAAAGTACCCCCCATGGAGCCTGGTCACCCTACAATCCCTTCTCCTCCATCTCTCCCTCTTTTCGGGATCTTAGACACGCACGCACATGTACCTGGTATGGTTTTCAAGTCACCAGATCCAGGACTCAACTGCACATGTTGGCTATGTAGGATCCAGCTGCCTTGACCACCAGGTCACAGAGCCAGCCCTAGTGTCTGTTTTTTCTATTTTTTGATATTTTGTATTTTTAAATCTAATTTATTTTACTATCCATTTTCTATATTATATTTCCTCCCTGATTTTTAAAAATAAACCAAACTTTGGAGCAGTAGACAGCATGGAGGTTAAGGTACTGGATCCCACATGGCTGTCTACACGGTTCAAGTGTTGAACCCAGTGGCTTGAAAAGCATGTGCACCCAAAATCCCAAGAGGAAAATGAAGGAGAGGAAATTGTGGCCTGGCCATTCTCCTGGGGGATGATTTCTCACTTTCTTAGTCTCTCTCCAGCAAGTGTACATGCCCTATAGCAAAAAGTAAAAACATATACACAAAAAAACTTTGTAATTACCTAGAAATTCTATAAAGATCCTCTACCAGTTACAAAAGAAACATTAAATTTTTTTTTATTTCTAGTTATAATCAAATACTTTGAACCATATTGTTTTTGCATTTTTTTCCTGCAAGTAGATTTAAAACCTAAATCAAGTAATAAATTCAAATAACCAAAATAGTCTAAAGAACTTACTTCTTACTTCTTTTTAAAGACTGGGTCTTACTCTGTTGCAGTCCCCCTGCTTCCTCCTCCCAGATAGGAAAATTGGTGCATGCCACCAATACTGGCTCTTTTTCAAACAGCTCTTTTCTTGCTGTGTTGCCCAGGCCAACCTTGAGCTCATGATCATCTTCCCTCAGCCTTCCCAGTCGCAGAGATTGCAGGTGCACATGCTGCATCCAGTCTTGTTTTCTTCTTCATAAATTTCAAATATATTTCTAAAAAGTACTTTACTTGAGGTTACTGAAATTTAGAACTTTCCAAACTAAACTGAAAAAAGAAAAGAATTGTAGGAAGAAGGTAATAATAGTATTATCTAGTTGATTCCTTATGTTTACTCTTAAATTTACATCTATTTAGACTAGATATAAAAGATTAATGGAAGGACCAATAGTTAGCATAATGGCTATGTCGCTGGACTTCCATGTAGTCGACCGCAGTTGAGTCTCGGACTCGGTGGCTTAAACTCACACCGGGTACATGCACGTGTGTGCCCAAGATCCCGAGAGGAGAACAGAGGAGGAGGGATTGCAGCGTGGCCATCCTCCCGGGGGGGTGATTTCTCGCTTTCTATCTCTCTGTCTCTGTCTTTCTGGCAAGCGCACGCGCCCTATAGTAAAAACCTCTTAAAAAAATAAATAAAAAAGATTAATGGTACCCAACAATTGAAATAGAAATTACTTTTCACTTAAAATGATTTTATAAAACAGTTTTAATTCTATAATTGTGTTTTTGATTCTCATTTGACTGTTTTAATCTCTTATTAGAACCTGGTGTCCCCTTGTGAATCCACACAGATACTCATGAAATCAACTGGGCCATTGTGAAAAAAAAAAATTTAATGTGAAGAATTTTTTGTTTTGTTTTGATTTGGTTTGGTTTGGTTTTTAATTCTTATAGGGCAGTGTGTTTTCCGGAGACAGAGAGAGAGAGCGTGCACGCACGAGCATCTCCCAAGGAGGATGACCACTCGCAGTCCCCTCTCTTCTGTTCTCTCAGCATTTTGGGCATGCCTGCACATGTGCCTGGTGTGTTTTCAAGCCACCCAGTTCCAGGACTTGAATGCTTAGCCATGTGGAATCCAGCTGTCTTAACCACCATGCCACCAGCTGGCCCGTATTTTAGTCATTCAACAGATATTTATAATGATATGGTATATGGTAATAGTTTCAATTTTCAACAAATAAATACACATGGTCAATAAAGCAGATAAGATTTCAATAATCGTGAGTCATCTACTGGGGAGATACAGTAATTCATTCAGCAAACAGCAAACAAACAAGATAATTTCACATAGTATTATATGCTTTAAAGATAATTATGAATGAATGTTGTCTATATAATATTACCTCAGTTTTCTTATTCTGAAATAATAATTATGCTTTAGCATTATTTTTGAAATGCTAATGTCCTCTGCTTTACTTTACTATCCTTCTACTGTTTTTAGTATACTTATAATTATTATATTTCATTAAATATTTTATAAAAAATCAGATTCACTCTCAAAGTAAAATTTTAGATTTTATCCATTTGTCATCCTATTTTATTTCATGCATGAGGGTTACAATTATTTGGAATGTTCAAGTTATTTGGCACATAAAGTCTTTGTTCTCATCTGTAAAACTGCTTCTGAAAAATATAACTTTTTTTGGAGAGGTTTTTGCAACAGGGCGCGTGTGCTCACCGGAAAGACAGAGACAGAAAGTGAGAAATCACCCCCCAGGGGGCATGGCCACACTGCAATCCCTTCTCCATTCGCCTCTCAGGATCTTGGGCATGCATGCACAAGCGCCCAGTGTGAGTTTAAGCCACCAGGTCCAGGACTCAGACCACAGTCGACCACGTGAGAGTCCGGCGACATAGCCATTATGCCAATGCTGGTCCCAAAATATAACTTTTTAAAATAATTTTTTAATTGACAAATACAAAGTACACATTTATGCTGTACAGTGTATAATATTGAGTTATCAGAAAAGTCATGATGCATTTTTACATAGTAAAGCATAGAAAAAAATACCTCTTGACTTTTCTGACAACCTAGTGGTTTGAGTTTTAAGTTAATTAGAACTTTGGAAATAAATTTTGACTCTGAAGTAATAAACTAATAAACATTTAATTAGATATCACTAAAGTGATCCTTTCATTTTAGTTTTATTTGTTGCCCTGAAATTCATGGTAGACTCTTTTAAATATGTAATTAATACATTATTAAATGTTCCTTTGTGTGTTAAATATATACTCTCTGATTTTAATCTTTAAATCGAATTTATCAAAAGAAAGTTTGTATGTGTTTGAAGATTCAGACATTGGATCAGTCCAGATAAGGAATTGTCTCTAGCATTGGTTCTTAATCCCTTTGGGTCACCTATTCTTTTTTTTTGGATTATTTATTTAATTTTATTTATTCATTCACTTATTTTAATTTGACCAGAGAAAGACAGGCACAGAGAGAGAAGGCAAGTGAGAAACCAAGCCACCAGGTCTGGAGTTGAACCGTAGTTGGCCATGTGGGAAAGTCCTCTCCTTAACCACCATGCCACCTGCTAGCCCTGGGTTACCTATTCTTTAAGAATCTGCTAAGACTCAGGAACCTAATTTCATGAACATTACTATAAATACAGACATGCATTTTCCAGATAATTTGAGAGAGTTCGTAGACTCCTTGTAACTTGTCCTTGTACCCCAGGTTTAGAATGACTTGTCTAGTAAAGGAGTTCGTAGGTTTCTGTGAGTCATTATGATTAACACATTATTTTGTTGTGTTTCCTGTTAGGCTTACCTCATTTTTCTTCTGGTCTTTTCCGCTGCTGGGGAAGGGATACTTTCATTGCACTGAGAGGTATACTGCTGATTACTGGACGCTATTTAGAAGCCAGGTAAGAAAGACAGTCCCTAAAAAGTTACAGTGTAAGTTTATGTCTGTTTTTCACATATTTTCCATACTTTGATTCTTATCCATCTATTTTGAACAATATTTGGGAGGTGTGTTTTCCTTAAAGTGGGGTTTTTAGCATGTCCATCTAATAGGATCATAGAATTTCAAAGGGGCAAAAATCTTTGAAATACTAAAGTCTAGTGCTTCGTGTTACAAGTCAGGTTATCTTCACACCCTGCGTGGCTTTAAGCCACCGGGTCCGGGACTAAAACCGCAGTCAGCTACATGGGAATCCAACGACATAGCCATTAGGCCAACTGCTGGTCCCAGTTTCTGACTTTTAATTCAGTGCCTGTTCTATCATAGTATGACTTTTTTTTTTTAAATAGGAAAACATAAAGAAATAAGAGCAAGAGGGGGGAAAAAAAGAGTCTCCAAAATATGGGCAACAAAATTGACTTTTTTTTGTCTTCAAATTTTTGAAATGTTTTCATTTTAAATGATCTACGTCATTCTGTTGTTTTAGGAATATTATCTTAGCATTTGCTGGTACCCTGAGGCATGGTCTCATTCCAAATCTCCTCGGTGAAGGAACTTACGCCAGATACAATTGCCGGGATGCCGTGTGGTGGTGGCTACAGTGTATTCAGGATTCTAATAGGATCATAGAATTTCAAAGGGGCAAAAATCTTTGAAATACTAAAGTCTAGTGCTTCGTGTTACAAGTCAGGTTATCTTCACACCCTGCGTGGCTTTAAGCCACCGGGTCCGGGACTAAAACCGCAGTCAGCTACATGGGAATCCAACGACATAGCCATTAGGCCAACTGCTGGTCCCAGTTTCTGACTTTTAATTCAGTGCCTGTTCTATCATAGTATGACTTTTTTTTTTTAAATAGGAAAACATAAAGAAATAAGAGCAAGAGGGGGGAAAAAAAGAGTCTCCAAAATATGGGCAACAAAATTGACTTTTTTTTTGTCTTCAAATTTTTGAAATGTTTTCATTTTAAATGATCTACGTCATTCTGTTGTTTTAGGAATATTATCTTAGCATTTGCTGGTACCCTGAGGCATGGTCTCATTCCAAATCTCCTCGGTGAAGGAACTTACGCCAGATACAATTGCCGGGATGCCGTGTGGTGGTGGCTACAGTGTATTCAGGATTACTGTAAATTGGTTCCAAATGGTCTAGACATTCTCAAGTGTCCCGTTTCTAGGATGTATCCTACAGATGATTCTGCTCCTTTGCCTGCTGGCACACTGGTAAAGACCATTGCTTTACTTTTTTTTTTTTTTTTCTAAAAAATGACTTAGTTTCTAGGATAAAAGTAAATATAATTCAGAATCCCAAACTTAGGAATTAAATTCAGTTATCAGTATTTATTTAGCACCTGCTGATACTATGAAAGAGTGCAGAGGTGAGACTTGCTCTTTGCCCACAGAATTTACAACATGGTATGAGAGATGACATCTGTATAAACAAGGTCATTGCAAAAGTCTGTAGAGAAAGTGCTATATCATCTCATAAAATGGAGAAAATCTAGTAGTTTGGGTCTCAGGAAGGACTTCAGAAAATAGCAAAAATTTTACCTAAACTGAGCCTTAAAAGGTGAGTAGGATTACAAGAAACTTGGAGGAAGATGTGGGGAGACATTAAAGAGGGAAAGAAGAAGAACTTGAAGGGTAGATTGAAGCACCATTTAGGATATGCTGCTTGGTCTAGTTTGACTTTTTGTGAGGTGCATATGTAGGCAGTGAGAGATTGCAGAAAGGGTGAACCAGGCTGTGGAAAGCCTTCACTACCAATCCAGAGAGTTCAGAGTGCATTGTATCAACAGTGAGGAATCGATAAACCTGTTGGAGTGTTTTTCCCCTAGTCAGGAATGTACAGTGATACTGCCCCGTTGCCACTTCTGATCTGCCTTTATATGATCATTTCCTTGGTGTGCGATTGTGGGAGGGGAGTGTAAGCTGCTTCACAGCTAGCATATATTCGTGTCCTTGTGGTGTTTATTAACATCACGAAGTGCTCAAAGAACTTTTACCCATAATTTGTTTTTACTTATCTTCTGTTGTTGACCAACATTCCAGTTACAATGCATATAGACTCATGTCAGCAGACACATAGTTTACACATAATTGTTTTCTCATAGTTTCTCAAAAACTTATTTTTGTGGACACAGGTGACACATAGTGGTTAAGGCTGTAAATTCCCATATGGCTAACCATGGCTCAAGTCCAGGACCCAGTGACGAAACTTACTCTGGCACACATACATGCATGCCCAAAATCATGAGAGGAGAATGGAGAAGGGACTGTGGCATGGCCAACCCCCCAAAGGGCATTTCTCACTTTCCCTCTCTCAGTCTCTCTCTGGCAAGCGCATGTGCCTTATGGCAAAAACCTAAAATTAAAAAAAAAAAAAAGTTAAATAAAATAAATACATTATAGAAAAAATAAATAGAAACCTAATGTTTGTGTGTGTGTGTGTGTGTGTGTGTGTGTGTGTTTAAGCATTATAGAAAAGCTTGATGATTTATAATTACCAGTAGAATTTTTATAGGATAGAGTTTTGGTTTTATCCGTTTATTTATTTATTTATTCATTCATTCATTCATTCATTTATTTATTTTGGAGAGGTTTTTGCTATAGGGTGCGAGCGCTCACCAGATAAACAGAGAGACAGAAAGCGAGAAATCACCCCCCAGGGGGGATGGCTATGCTGCAATCCCTTCTCCTCCATTCTCCTCTTGGGATCTTGGGCACGCACGCACACACGCCCAGTGTGAGTTTTAAGCCACCGGGTCCGGGACACGAACCGTGGTCGACTACATGGGAGTCCAGCGACATAGCCATTATGCTAACTGCTGGTCCCCTATCCTTTTTTTAAAAAAAAGCTGTTTTTGCTATACGGTGTGTGTAGTCACCAGAGCGACAGACAGAAAGTAAGAAATCATCCCCCCCGCCCCCCAGGGAAGATGACCACACTGCAATCTTTCTCCTCCATTTTCCTCTCAGAATTTTAGGCACCCACAAACACACACCCGACATGTGTTTTAAGCCTCCAGGTTCAAGACTCGAACTGTGGTTGACCATGTAGGAGTCCAGCACCTTTACCACTACACCACATGATGGGCCTAGTTTTAGTCCATTTTTTAAATGAAATGTAAACATATGAGTGTCTAAACATTTCACTCTCGCATTCTTTTTTTTTGAAGATTTTATTTAACTTTATTTATTATTATTTCATTATTATTTTTCAGTTTGATCAGAGAGAGACAGAGAGAGAGAGGAAGTGAGAAAGCAAGCCACCAGGTCTGAGACCTGAACCATGGTCAGCCATGTGGGAGTCCAGCGCCTTCAACCACCATGCCACTTGCCGGCCCCACTCTGGCATTCTTTATCTTTTTTAGAAATGATTTATTATTATTACTGTTTTGAAAATTTTAGCTATAGAGCACATGTGGTCACCAGAGAGAGAGAAAGGGCGTGGCAAAGTGAGTAAGCAAACTGCCAGGTCCAGAACTTGAACCATGGTTGGCCGTGTGGGAGTCCAGTGCCTTCACCACACCATCTGCTGACCTCTTTTATCTTACTTTTAATATACCACTATATATCACCCCGTCATCTTGAGTAACAGGCTTACTATTTATATGGGTAAAGAAAGTAACTTGTAGGTAAAGAAATGATTTACAGATGCTTATATTCATAGGAGATCTTTTCCAAAGTCATATAGATCCTCAAATTTGAGAGTACTACTTTTGCACATAATTTATTCCCATTATCAATGTATGAAGAAGAGTAAGAATGGCAGTGCTAATTTAAAGTTCAAAAACTTGACAAATTAGGTTCATTTATAAGGTGCAAAAGAAACTATCCAAGCTCACTAGATTTGTTTTTATCTATTGGCAAAACTACAAATCATTTCCCAGATCTGAGTAGTAAAAACTACCAACTTTAAATATTCATAGGCCGCATGTTTGGTGTACCTACAGGAGCAGCTGCTCTCCCCAGCCCTGCCCCTGATCCCTTTTCTTCCACAAAGGGAAGAATGTCTCACATTACTTCGGCTGTGAGATTTTAAGGGTAAAGATAAGAAAATTCCGATTTGTAACAGAGGTAACATCCATTGTGTCTCAAACAGGACCAGCCACTGTATGAGGTGATACAGGAAGCTATGCAAAGACACATGCAGGGCATCCAGTTCCGAGAAAGATGCCGGCGCCCAGATCGATCGAAACATGAAGGATGAAGGTACAAACCCGAACTGCCTGGTGCAAATCTGCTGATACAGTGAAATTAAACCTTGTCATTGTTCATTTATTTGACAAATATGTATTTGTATGCAAAATCCCAGGATTTAATAGTGAAAAACATTAGCACCGGGACCAGCAGGTGGCGTGGTGGCTAAGGCACTAGACACTCCCATATGCCTGACCACGGTTTGAGTCCCGAACCTGGTGGCTTGCTTTCTCACTTTGACTCGCTCTCCCTCTCTCTCTGTGTGTGTGTGTGTGTGTGTGTGTGTGGTCAAATTAAAATAAATGAATGAATAAATAAAAAATTAAATTAAAAAAATCTTCCTTTTTTCTTTAAAAAAAAAAAAAGATTAGCACTCACTACTCTTACCAAATTATTAGTTTCCAGAACCAAGATACAGTTTATAACTTCCGTCAAACAATTTGAAAGGTAGTTTTGGTGGTTCCATTTATAATTGTAATCATACCTGTCCTTAATTGAGTGCTTTCTGTGTGCTAGGTATTGTGCTAACTACTTTATATCATTCTCCTTGAGAATAAGGTCTACTGTTTCCATGTTTACTAAATGAGAAGCAGAGTGGCTTTTTTCAAAGTTACACAGTTCCTAAATGGCAGGGGTGGAATTTCATACACAATCTGTCTGCCTCTGTAGCCTAGACTCTTATCTATAATTTTTTAAAATTATGTATTTGTTAACAGAGTTTGAACAGATTTTAAATAAATCCATTTTTTAAAGAGTTATTTTATTTTACTTTATGTATTTATTTATTTTAATTTTGACCCGAGAGACAGAGCAAGAGCGAGAGAGAGAGAGAAGGAAAGTGAGAAAGCAAGCTGCCAGGTCCAAGATTTGAACCGTGGTAAGCCATGTGTGATTTTGAAAGAATTGTGGACTACTGGGAAGTTGGAAAAATGATACAAGTAGTAGGAGAGCCCATCACCAACCCCGTCTGCTGGGATTATTTTATACAACTGTAGAATGTATCAAAAGTACCATGATTCTGTTAATCATGCACTTAATTTGTTTTCTACCAGTTTTTACATTAACGTGTGTGTCTGTGCGTGTGTGTGTGTGGGGGGTTCTATGCAATTCGACCCCACATATAACTTGATGAAACCACTACCACAATCAGAATGCAGATCTGGACTATCAGCAAAAAGATCCTTGTGTACCACCACTCCACCCTCACTCCGCCCTAACCCCAGTCTGTGGCAACTGCTAATCTGATATGCACTTCTGTTGTTTTGTCATTTTGAGAATGGAATGTACATGGAATCATACAGTGTGTAACCTTTTCAGATTGGATCTAATTGAATTGTTGACTTTTTAAGTACTAGGGATTTTTTAGTGTGTAAAAGATGCATAATACATACTTATAATTTTATAATAAAATTTACCATTTTAGCCATTTTTAAATGTACAGTTAACTTGCCTTAAGTACATTCACATGTCATGTAACTACCATCACTAGCCATCTCCAGGACCTTTTTTTTTCTTTTTTTTGCTGTAGTGTTTATGCACTTACGAGAGTAAGAGAGAGAGAAATCAGCCTCTAGGGTGAATGGCCATGCCACAGTCCCTTCTCCTCCAGTCTATTCTCAGGATTTGGGGCACTCATGCACATACACCCACCAGCATTTTTTTTTTTTTTTTTGGAGAAGTTTTTTGCTATAGGGCGTGTGCACTCGCCAGAAAGATAGAGACAGAGAGACAGAAAGCGAGAAATCACCCCCCAGGGTGGATGGCCACGCCGCAATCCCTTCTCCTCTTTTCTCCTCTTGGGATCTTGGGCACGCACACATACGCGCCCGGCGTGAGTTTAAGCCACCGGGTCCGGAACCTGAACCGCGGTTGACTACATGGGAGTTCAGCCATTCCGCTAACTGCTGGTCCCCCACCCATCACATTTTACAAGTCACCAGGTCTGGTACTTGAACCACACATCAGCCTTAACCACCTTAACACTGGCTAGCCCATATGCTTTCCTATATTGTTACATTATAAATAATCATTCCACTTTAGTTCATTCTACTTCTGTTTTATGAGTGTTGTTCTTAAGATCCATACCTATATTCATTTATCATCTCAATGTTAGTTTCTTTCTTTCTTTCTTTCTTTTTTTTTTTTTTTTAAAGATTTTTGCCATGAGGCATATGTGTTCACAGGAGAGACTGAGAAGAAAGGTGTGAAATCACCTTTTGGGGGGATGGCCACACTGCAATCCCTTCTCCTCCTGGAATTCTGGGCCTACATGCACACACACCCAGCCTGAGTTTCAAGCCACAGGTCTGGGACTCTTAACTACAGTAAGCCATGTGGGAGTCCAGTACCATCATGCCACCTGTTAGCCACATGGAGTAGTGATTAAAGGAGTCAAATCCCCACATGGCTGACCTAGTTCCAGTCCGAGCACTGGCAGCTTGAAAAACACACCAGGTATGGGCGTGTGCATGCTCGAGCTCCCTGCAAAGTGGAAAGGCAAGAAAGGAGTTGTAGCATGGTGGGGTGCATGCTTTCTTTCTTTTTCCGTTTTTTCTCTCTGGTGAATGAATGCGCCCTCTTTTATTTGAAAATACATACATATATAAGTATGTACACTATTTTTTTTTTAAGATTTTAGCCATAGATCACGTGTGCTCTCCAAAAAGAGAACGAGTGGAGGGCAGGGATGACCACGCCACAGCCCCTTCTCCTCCATTCTTATCTTGGGCACATGCATGCATGAGCCTGCAGTGTTTTTCAAGCCACTGGGTCTAGGATTCAAACCATGGAGTCTTCCATGTGGGATCTAGCACCATAACCACCACACCACCTGCTGACCCCAAAAGCTTTCATTTTAACCCCTAACAAAATAAGTAATTTAGCGTGTATCACCTTCTCCAGTTCCTCTTTTGATATTATCTAGATGTACTTAAGTCTCAATTGTGAATATATGGAGTCATCAGGAAAGTCAAGATGTATTTATCTATGCAAAAATGCATAGAAATGGCCTAGTAATTATTTTGTTCATATAATATTGGTTTTTTGGTTTTGTTTTGAGAAGTTTCTGCCTTTGGGCTCATGCACTCACTGGGAAGAGAGTGACAGTGAGGAGGGAAGTGAGAAATCACCCCCTGGGGGGATGGCCATGCTGCAGTCCCTTCTCCATTCTCCTCCCAAGATCTTGGGCATGCGCGCACATGCACCCCGCCTGGTGTGAATCTCAAGCCACTGGGTATGGAATTTAAACTGCTGTCAGCCATGTGGGAGTCCAGCGACATAGCTGCTATGCCATCTGCTGGCCCCAAAATACTGGGATTTTTTTTTTTTTTTTTTTGAGAGCTTATAGGGCACGTACACTCGCCAGAAAGACAGAGAGAGAGAGAGACAAAAAGCGAGAAATCACCCCCCGGGTGGGATGACCATGCTGCGATCCCTTCTCTTCCATTCTTCTCTCAGGATCTTGGGCACGCATGCACACGCACCTGGCATGAGTTTAAGCCACCAAGTCCAGGACTCAAACCGTGATCAACTACATGGGAGTCCAGCAACATAGCCATTATGTCAACTGCTGTTCCCAGTATTGGGATATTTTTTAGGCACAGTTAACTTTTATGTGTAATTTGATCATCTTTTTCCCATAACAGCATCCTCCTAGATTTATTCTATCCTCTTTGAATTAATTAAGTTGATTATTCTCATTTATTTGCATGAATATATATCTCTTTATTTAGGATTTTACTCAGATTTTTCTTCCTTCATTTTTTATTTCTTTTTTGGGGGAGGCTCTTGCTATAGGGCGCGTACACTCGCCAGACAGACAGAGACAGAGAGACAGAAAGCAAGAAATCACCCCCCAGGGAGGATGGCCATGCCACAATCCCTTCTCCTCCATTCTCCTCTCGAGATCTTGGGCATGCACACACATGCGCCTGGCGTGAGTTTAAGCCACCGGGTCCAGGACTCGAACCACAGTCGACTACGTGGGAGTCCAGCGACATTGCCATTACGCTAATTGCTGGTCCCTTTTTTCTTCTTTTTTAATAGGTATGATTACCTATACCCTTTAGGGGCACATGTGTCCTCTGGTTAATTTTAAAAAGAAGAAAATAAATAAGATTAATCCTGTTTGTCTATTTTTGGGATTATTGCCTGTGCTTTAAGGGTCTTATTTTTGCCTGCTCCAGTATCTCCAAGAGTTTCCTCTGCATTATCCACCAGCAGTTTTATAGTTTTAAGTCTTAGGTTTAGATCTGTGATCCATTTTGAGTTGCATGCATTCACTAGAGACACAGAGAGAGACTGAGATAGAGGGAATGAGAAATCATTCCCTGGGGGTGGGGGTGGGGGGGATGGCTATGCCTCAGTCCCTTTTCCATTCTCCTCTAAAGATTTTGAGTATGTACACACATGTGCCCAGCTTGAGTTTCATGCCACTGGGTCTGAAACTTAAACTATGGGCAGCTATGTGGGAGTCTAGCTCCACAACTGCTATGCCACCTCCTGGCCCCAATTTTATAAAAGTTTTAAATAAAATATTTTTATATACTACATGTATACAAAATAGTTATAAGACATTTTATTTTATAAATTTTATTTTTATTTTTTAGGTTTTAATATAACTGCAGGAGTTGATGAAGAAACAGGATTTGTTTATGGAGGAAATCGCTTCAATTGTGGCACATGGATGGATAAAATGGGAGAAAGTGACAGAGCTAGAAACAGAGGAATCCCAGCTACTCCAAGGTAGTGTTCATTTTATAGTGCTTATATATATAATTAATTATACACTTTCTAGAAAACACATGCACGTGTAGTCTTCATATTCAGTCACTCAAAATCTGCCTCTCTCCTTCATAATGCTCTTCCACTCACCCCTTCCTCTCCCATTTTAAAGTACACATTCTTCTTGGTATCAATCATCAAATAAAGTTGTCTCTTCTCTTCTGGAAGTTCTTATAGGTTGATTCTCAATAAGCACCTCAAAAGGAAGTTTTATGATTCGTTATCCCAGTGCTTGAGAATTTTGTTTTGGGGAGTTTTTTTAGAGGGTTTTGCTGTAGGGCATGTGCGCTTGCCAAAAAGATAGAGAGAGACAGAGAGACAGAAAGTGAGAAATCATCCCCCGGGGGTATGGACATGCCACAATCCTTTCTCCTCTGTTCTCCTCTCAGGATCTTGGGCACACACGCACACATGCCCAGTGTGAGTTTAAGCCACCGGGTCCAGGACTCCAACCATGGTTGACTATGTGGGAGTTCAGTGACATATGCTAACTGCTGGTCCCAAAATTTGTATTTTTAATTTAGAGATGGATCTGCCGTGGAAATTGTGGGTCTGAGTAAATCTGCTGTTCGTTGGTTGCTGGAATTATCAAGAAAAAATATTTTCCCTTATCATGAAGTCACAATTAAAAGACATGGTAAGCTTTTCATTTTATTTACAAACAAAATTTGAATGTACTGTCTATATTCTTAACATATGTAATTGTCACTTGATTCAATTGGCTAATAATAGGAAATCCTTAAGATTAAGAGGAAAGAAAAATCATTAATTTGCTAGTATAAACATTATAGTAAATCTGGTTATTAGGCATAATTTTATAGCAACTGGGTTAGATAAATCAACATAGTTGTTGCCTTATTGTGCTTCTTTTTTTCCAGCATGGCTATGAGCCAGTTGCATTTTTGTGAACAATTTTGAAATCTTTACATCTCTTTTTCTTGAACAGATCTGTCCAATATAATGTGAGCCACATACATAATTTTAACTTTTCTAGTACCAACATTGTTTTTTAAACTTATGGTGAAATTAATTATTAAGATACTTTGTTCCATATGTTAAATATTTTCAACATATAATCAATATAAAATTATTCATGATGGACTGAGCTCCATAGTTTAGCAGTAATGTACTGCTCAAAAGAAGCCAGACCCCATATCCAAGCCCAGTTTGACTTCCTGGCCTGTTCAGCCTGAATGTACTCCAGGCACATGTGCAAATGCCCAAGGTCCAATGGGCTAGAAGATGAGACGAAGAGGATCGTGGCATACCAGACTCTGTAAAGCGTGCACCTCTCTCACTCTTTCTCCCTCTCTTCTCCCTCTCATGCATGCATACACGTACGCATGCGCTCCGTCATGAATAAAGAAAAATTTATCAGTAAGCCATTCTATATTCTTTTGAGGACTTACTAAATCTTTGAAATCCAGTGCATAGTTTATGTTTATAACATATGTCAATTCAGACTGCCATTCAGAAGCCTTTCTCCTCAGAAATGAATTCGATGGGGACCAGCAGTTAGCGTAATGGCTAAGTTGCCGGACCCCCACTTAGTCGACCGTGGTTTGTGTCTCGTACCCAGTGGCTTAAAACTTATGCCGGGCGCGTGTGCGTGCGTGCCCAAGATCCCGAGAGGAGAATGGAGGAGAGGGGATTGCGGTGTGACCATCCTCCCTGGGGGGTGATTTCTTGCTTTCTGTCTCTCTGTCTCTCTCTGTCTGTCTGGTGAGCGCATGCAAAAACCTCTCAAAAAAAAGAAAGAAAGAAAGAAATGAATTAGATGAATTTAAGTGCTTTCTTTGTTGAAGTTGTGACAATTTTTTGGAGGTAGTATACTTTATAGAAGTGACACTAGGAAATAGTCACTTCTAAGAGCTTTCCTAACTTTTTTTTTTTTCAAAAAGCGGATAATTTATTGCCTTCTAGCAGATAAAAATAAGTAAACTATGTTTTGTTCTTTGGCTATGTAAACTGACACTTGTTTTATTACTTTTCAGGAAAGGTTGTAAGAGTCTCCTATGATGAATGGAATAGAAAAATGCAGGACAACTTTGAAAAGCTGTTTCATGTTTCAGAAGACCCTTCAGATTTGAATGAAAAGCATCCGAATCTGGTTCACAAACGTGGCATATACAAAGATAGTTATGGAGCATCAAGTCCTTGGTGTGACTACCAGCTCAGGCCTAATTTTACCATAGCAATGGTTGTGGTGAGTGATCTGATCTGTTCTTTTTAAATTTCAAAAGATGTCATGGTAGGCTTACTGAGTTTGGAGTTTTTTGGTGGTTTTTTGTTTGTTTGTTTTTTACCAGAGGACATGCACACTCACCAGATAGAGAGCCAGAGAGGGAGAGGGAGAAAGCATCCCCCCAATTGGAGGTTGTTAGCCCCTACTGCTTTTTGCTCCATTACCTCTCCTCTCAGGATTTGGGGCATGCACACACATGCACTCTGTATGTCTTTCAAAACACCAAGGCCAAGACTCAAACCGTGTAGTTGGCAGTATGAGATCTTGCTCCCTTAACTACCAAGGCCAAGGGGCCAGCCTGGTTTATGTACTTCTTTATTCCCATTTGTGTTTAAATGCATTTGATTACCAAAAAGTATTTCATGTACTAGCTAGTTTTATATCTTCTTTTAAAATCCTTTTTGACATATAACATTTAGTATCAAAAAATAGAAAATAATGAATGATGACTAATGAAGTGTTTTCCAATTTTTTTCATTGTAACACACATAGAAAATATTCATACAACACAATGGGCTAAATGGATGAGGCTGATTGTGCAGATCCAGCTGCTTCAATTAGCCCAAGATCTACCCAGCTACCCTGATAACCAAATGCCTGCATTTTGGCAAACCTGTGCCAAAACCAGTGCCTCAGCACACGTGTTGGAAAGCTCTGAACCAGTGAACTGAAGAGGGTCGCTCAGATTCACATTCTGCTTTCTTTGTTATATTGCTGTAATTAGCTTGATCTAGCCAAGAATTCTCGACTTTCCTTTTTTTAAATCTCTGTTTAATCTAATAATAAACTCCAAAGGCAGTTAAATAGAGAAGACAGGTACTCTTCTATTCCTGCCTTGCTGTTTCCACATTGTCAAAAAGAGTAGTACACAATACTGGGGCCTGCAGATGGCATGGTGGTTAAGGACACTGGACTCCCACATGGCCAACTGAAGTTCAAGTCCTGGGTCTGGCGGCTTGCTTTCTCACTTTCCCTCTCTCTCTCTCACTCTGTCTCTCTCTGGTCAAATCAAAATAAATAAGTAAGATAAGTTTAAATAAAATAATTCTTTAAGAAAAGAATAATTCACAATACTATAAATTATAAAAGAATAAAAAACACGAAAGTACACAAAGGTAACTTTGGTTCATTGTGCATTTGAATTTATTTAACCATTAGAATAATGTACATTCTGGTTCAAGAGTGCTTTCTGCCCACCTTGTCCATATCAAAAGTAAATGTACTTATGCTACCAGAATACAGGTGTTGTGGGTTTTTGTTTTTGTGTTTTTTTAGAGGTTTTTGCTATAGGGTGCGTGCGCCCGCCCGACAGAGACAGAGAGACAGAAAGTGAGAAATCACCCCCCAGGGGGGATGGCCATGCCCAATCCCTTCTCCTCCATTCTTCTCTCGGGATCTTGGGCACGCACGCACACGCGCCCGGCGTGAGTTTTAACCCACCAGGTCCGGGATGCGAACCGCGGTCGACTATGTGGGAGTCCAGCAACATAGTCATTATGCTAACTGCTGGTCCCAAGTGTTGTGTTTTGTTATACTCCCAGAAGCAAAAAATGGGCACCAGATATACATAAAGGAAATTCTAATAAATCTCCTAAAGGATACATTAGATGAGTTTAAGTGCTTTCCATCTTTGTTGTAGCTATGGCAAATTTATTTTGGAGCTAGTATACTTTTTTTTTTTTTTTAAGAGATGGTTCCTATAGGGTGTGTGTGCTTGACAGAGAGACAGAAGTGGGAATTCACCCCGCAAGGGGGAATGGTCACACTGTAATCCCTTCTCCATTCTCCTCTCAGGATCTTGGACATGCATACATACGTGCCCATGAGTTTTAAGCTGCCGAGTCCAGGACTTGAACCATGGTCAGCTACATATAAGTCCAGCAACAAAACCATTACACTATCTGCTGGTCCCATGAGCTAGTATACTTTTTTGAAATGATGCTAGAATTTTCCTCACTTTTTTTTTTTTTTTTTAAGTTGCCAGAGGACACATGTGCTTACCTGAGGGAGAAAGGGACAGGGAGAAAGCACCCCTCACTGGGGCATGGTCACACCACAATTTCTTCTCTAGCATTTCTCCATCCCGTTGGGGTTTTGTGCTGCATGTACATGTACCTGGCATGTTTCTCAAGCATCAGCACTTGGACTACACAGGTGGCCATATGAAATCTAGCTCCCTTTACCACCAGACCACAGAGCTGGCCTGAGCTTTCCTAACCTTGAGGGCCAAGAACAGTACTTCCAAACTTCATAGGAATAGATCTGGTTAGGCTTCTGCACTCAATTTCTGACCCACTCTGTATTTTTAAATAATGTTTATTTTTCCAAGTTTATGAATAGTTTATGCGGGTGGAAACTAATTCCATGATCTTAAAAAGTTTGTGTATTTGTTTTGACATTCATCAGGCCCCCGAGCTCTTTACTACAGAAAAAGCATGGAAAGCTTTGGAGATTGCAGAAAAAAAATTGCTTGGCCCCCTGGGCATGAAAACTTTAGATCCAGAGTAAGTCAGAATGTGAATATTTCTTTAAAAGTGTGTATATTTGTTTTTGATAGTCATTAAGCCTCTGAGCTCTTTTCTGTGGAAAAGGCATGGAAAACTTTAAAGATAGCAGGAAAAAAAATTGCTTGGTCCCCATGGCTTGTAAACTTTAGATTTAGATTAAGTTGGAATATAAGTATTCAGAATTTTGTTGATACTATAGTTATTCAAATATTGTATTTAATCCAGAACACTGACATGAACCATAAATTTTTGCTTACTAATAGCATTCTAAAATTGCATTCAAACTTAGTTTTTAAAATAATTTTTATATCTTTGTTAAATATGAAAGTTCAAAATGCCTTTGACTTGTTCTATATTTAATAATCACCTAAAGAATTTTAAGTTTATAAAACGAATATGTCATGAATATTTTCTAATGTTTATTTAGATGACTGTTATGAACATTGGAAAGTATAGACATATATAAGGAAAAAGCAGAATTAAAAACCCTTCATCTAGAAATAAACATCACTATCATCTGGCATATTGCCCAGTCCGTTTGTGCATTTTTATAAGTTTGGACCGTACATGCACATGCCTAGAAGAACTTACATCAAAATTTTCAATTATTGGTTGTGTTTCTACACTTCTAATTCTATTCCTCAGAGGATTTTTTCTTTTTTTAATTGTTTCTCCTTGTAGTTCTTTTCAGATTACTACATAATAGATGTATGCTGCTGTTTTATGATTTTTAAATATTAGCTATTATTTGTTTGCCTCTCATGATGACAGATGAGGATTTAATCCTGTTCTCACTTCATCACTAATTCTCTCTATCCTTTTCAATGAGTTACACCACTTTTTTTTTTTTTTTTACTTGCTATAAAGCTTGCACACTCAGTGGAGAGATAGAGAAAGTGAGAAAACTGCCCAAGGGGGATGGTCATGCCACAGTCCCTTCTTCATTCTTCTCTCAGGATTTTGGGCATTTGGTCATACACCTGGCATATTCTCAAGCTGTCGAGTCCAAGACTCAAACTGCAGGTGTCCATGTGGGCCTGATCCCGCCTCCTTAACCACCACTCCTCTAGCTGACTCTACACCAGTCTTTTTACTTAAATAAATAATTACTTGTCTTCTTTTTTGATTATGTGTCTATGAAATATTATACTTATTCTTATCTATTTTTATTTTTTCTTGAGTTTCTAATGATGTTTTTCTTTTATTGTTTTCCTTTAAAGGTTAATTCCCATCATTGTTTTTTCCAAATCATAGGTAATAGGGTCCCACCTTTCCTACTTCACTGTCTACTCATTTCATTCTTGAGATATTAACTTTATATTTTAGGTTTCTGCCATAATGCATGTGCACTCACCAGGAAGAGACAGAGAAAAACAGAGAGAGGGAATCTATAATTAATAGAACTTTATCTTTAAAAAAAAAATGTGAGTAGAAAAGGGAGGAAAGAGGCAGACACAGAGAGTTGCATTGGTTCTGAATGTGGAGGGGCCTAGGGACTTTTAAAGGAAGTGGATTTAGAGTGGGGCAATTAAGGTGGTCCTGAGATAGCATGGCAGGTGAATAAAGCCTCATCTTTCCTGTTTACTAATTCAAATGTTCTATATATGTTTTAATTATTAGACTTACATTGGAGGCCTGGTGACATAGTTGACTTTAAACCAGCCAATATTTAGTGTCAGGTGACTCCGTATAGGCAAAAGTACCTGAACATTTTATATTTTTTATTTGCCAGCATTTGTTAATACAGATTCCCTAATATGTTATCAGACTTCTCTGAACTAAGTATGTACTTATTTAAGGTCAAGTAGGTGATGTACTAATGCTGAGCTTACTCTGTAGACTAGAAGACAAGATAATTTGGTTATACCTTTTACCTTCACTATTGAAATTTTTCTAATGCTTTTATTTAACTTAAGTTTCTGTCATTTTTCAGTGACATGGTTTACTGTGGAATTTATGACAATGCCTTAGACAATGACAACTACAATCTTGCTAAAGGTTTCAATTATCACCAAGGACCTGTAAGAAATTCATTTCTCTTCTCTGAGTTTTCAGTTTGTTTTTCAATAATTTTAGATACTCGTGACTCTATTTTTTCTTTTTCTTCTTCTCTTTTTTGTTATCATCTCTTTGAGGAGTGGCTGTGGCCCATTGGGTATTTCCTTCGTGCAAAATTATATTTTTCCAAACTGATGGGTCAGGAGACTCATGCAAAGACTATGGTTTTAGTTAAAAATGTTCTTTCCCGACATTATGTTCATCTTGAAAGGTAAGTCAGCAGAGGCAGGTAATTTCCATCGCTAATGTTAGTCAATTAGATGTTAGATAAATAACATTTCTCTAGAATTTATTTCTGTATTCTCTGACTGTCCCAGTGAAATTTGAATTTGAAACCTGTATTCTTTTTTTTTTTTTTTTTTTTTGGTGCTATAGGGTGCATGCATCACCAGAAAGACAGAAAGCAAGAAATCACTCCCCAGGAGGGATGGTCACACCACAGTTCCTTCTCCATTCTCCTTTCAGGATCTTGAGCTTGCATGCACATGTGCCCCGGCATGAGTTTAAGCTGCTAGGTCTAGGACTTGAACTGTGGTCGACTACATGGGAGTCCAGTGACATAGCCATTAAGCCATCTGCTGGTCCCGAATCCTATATTCTTTAACACAAAGTCTATGATATAATTTTCACTTTCCTTTCATCATTTGAGGCTGTTTTTTATTTTTAGTTGAGGACTTGGTATTGTATAACTTACAAATGTATAATTGTCTTTTATTTTTTAAATATAGCTGAAATTGGCCAGCAGGTGACATTGAGGCTAAGGCACTGGATCCCAGATGGCTGACTGAGTGGTTCAAGTCCTGGAGCCTGAGTTTAAAAATCACACTGGGCACATGTGCATACATGCCCAAAATCCCAAGAGGAGAAGGGATTGCAGCCTGGCCATGTGCCAAAAAGCACATAAGCTTGCCAAAGAGAGACAGAGAGAGGACAAAATACCTCCCAGCGAGGCATGGTCACATCACAATCCCATCTCCATTTCTCAGGATCTGGGGCACACACACACACACACACACATACACACAAATGGCATGTGTTTTGTTTTTTCTTGTTTTTTTTTTTTTTTGTGTGTGTGTGATTTGTTGTTGTTGTTGTTTTGTTTTTGCCATAGGGTGTGTGCCCTTGCCAGAGAGACAGAAAGAGAGAAAGTGAGAAATTGCCTTCCAAGCAGATGGTCATGCTGCAATCCCTTCTCCTGTCTCCTCTCAGGATTTTGGGCATGCACGCACACACACCAAGCATGATTTTGAACCCACAGGTCTGGAAAATTGAACTGCACAGCCAACCATGTGGGATCCAGCACCTTAACTTCCACTGGCCCATTTTTTCCATTTTTATTGTAAAGTATTTGATACTGGGATCAGCAGATGGCATAATGGTTATGTCGCTGGACTCCTACATGACTGACTGTGTTTCGAATCCTGGACCCGAAGGCCTGAAGCACACCAGGCACATGTGCATGCGTACCCAAAATCCTGAGAGGAGATTGGAGGAGAAGGGATTGCAGCATGGCCATCCCCTTGGGGGGTGATTTCTCACTTTCTGTCTCTCTGTCTCTCCAGCAAGAGCAAATACCCTATAGCAAAAATTTCTCCAAAGAAAGAAATAATAAACTATACTTACAAAAGAGTATATATAACATCACCATGAATTACGAATCATAATAAAACATATTCCCACAACCCAACTTTAAAAAGAAACATAATAGATTTCTATATATTTCTTAATTTCATATTTAAAGGATTGCATTGAAGTTAGGAATAAATTTGAGGAGCCAGCCTGTGGTTAAGTGAGCTGGATCCCACATGGCTGGCCACATGCTTTGAGCCCCAGACCTGGTGATTTAAGAAACATACCAGGAGTTTGTGCACGCACGCCCAAAACCCTGAAAGGAAGAAGAAGCGTGATCATGTCCTTTGGGGCCTGCTTTCTCTTTCTCCTTCTTCCCCATCTCTGGAGAATGCACACTCTTTGGCAAATGTTTTTTCAAATACCAATAGAATGAATTGAATATGTTAATAATGCTTCTTTGCAATAGTTAGACCTACAACCAATTATTTAACCTCAATCAATCTCTCTTACTTTTCTGTAAACAAGGATGATATGGTACCTAAATTAAAAACCTGCTCTAAGCATTAAATGAAACAATATATAAAGCACGTAGTATTAAAACATAAGTGCATTGGGGCCAGCAGATTGCATAATGGTTACATCACTGGACTCCCACGTAGTCGACTGCAATTCGAGTCCTGGACCTGGCTGCTTAAAACACACAGTAGGGTAGGGAAGACATGTGGCATGGTTGTTAAAGACTCTGGACTCCCACATGGCCAACTGTGGTTCAAGTCCTGGACCTGATGGCTTGCTTTCTCATCTCTCTCTCTCTCTTTCTCTCTTTCTCTGATCAAACTGGAAAATAATAGTAATAATGAATAAAGTTGAATAAAATAATAAAAAAAAAAAAAAAAAACCTCACGCTAGGTACGTATGCATGCATGCCCAAAATCCCAAAAGAAGACTGGAAAAGAAGGGATTGTAGCATGCCCATCCCCTGGGGGGTAATTTCTCGCTTTCTGTCTCTCTGAGAGCACACATGCCCTATAGCAAAAACCTCTCCAAAAAAAATAAGTGCATAATAAATGCTAAGATGATTATTCAGTAGAATGATAGATAAATTGCCTTTTTCCTAATCATAGTTCTCACTGTGTCTTCATTACTTCATGTAATATTTTAAAGAATTATTTGATTTTATTTATTATTATTTATTTATTTTCAATTGGCAATAGGGCACATGTACTCAGCAGAGAGAGAGAGAGAAAGTGAGAAAGCAAGCCACCAGGTCCAGGACTCAAACCACGGTCAACCATATGGGAGCCCAGGGTCCTAACCACCACAGCAACTCCTGGCCCCATTACTTCATGTAATTTTATAATTTTACTAAGATCACACATAATAAATCTACATAATTATAATTGGAATCTAATAAACTTATTCTAAATAGAATAAATTAACACAGGAGTAAAACACTATGCTCTTCAAAGCTGACCCACATGGAAAGGTTGCTGGTTTGTGTCGAGAGACCTTCCTGCGTACACTCGGCATTTATGTGCCATAATCCAGACTGGCTGAGGCTGGGGCAGCTCACAGATCAAGACCCTATTGAGCATGCTATATCTCTCTCTCTCTCGCTCCCTCTGTCTCTTTCTCACTTACTCATGGGATAAGTAAACATTTAAAACTAAGCATGAGAAGGTTATTTGTCTGTCTCTGTTTATATATTGCTTGGAATAATGATTTCTAAGTTTTTAATATATAAAGGAACTTCTTTATATTTGACAGTTTTAAATCTCCAAGATGGAATATCAAAGAATATTTTAACCTAAATTTTTATGTGTTTCTTTAAGATACTCTGTTTTATTTTATATTAATAGTAAATGAAAATATATGATTGTTTTGCATACTTAAAGGCAAACATTACCAGGTCTTACCTATTTTGCCAATGTGTTAAACATTGTATCATAAAAAATCTCTTCTTTCTTTCAGATCCCCTTGGAAAGGACTTCCAGAACTGACCAATGAGAACGGCCAGTATTGTCCTTTCAGTTGTGAGACACAAGCCTGGTCAATCGCTACTATTCTTGAGACACTGTATGATTTATAATTGATTTGTGGATGTTATACCTTGTGTGCAATTACTTATGGAATGCAAGGTCATAATATAATGTAAATGCTTTATATATACAGGCTCAACTCATTTAAAAAATCATATCTATATAATAATGATGCCCAATGAGATGAGATTATAAAAGCAATAAAAGCATCTTTAAAAATAAATGTACAGAGATAGCTTTCAACTTGAATCAGAAAGAAAAATTATTGTTACCAATGGGATGCCTTTCTTTTGAATTCAGTAAGCTTCAAATGCCTAGAAATCCTATAATCTTCCACATGTACATAAGTGAAAATATAATAACTGCAATCGCATTACCCACAGTTTTGCTTTCCATGATTTCAGTTATCCTCAGTCAACTGCCATCCGAAAATATTCAATGTAAAATTTTAAAATGAAGAATTGGTAAGTTTTAAATTACATAACACTTTGAGTGGCATGATGAAAGCCTGCACCATCTCGAATCAGCCCTTTGTCCAGCTCTCCATGCTGCCTGTACCAACACCTGTCAGTCACGTAGTAGCTGTCTCAGTTATCAGATGGATAGTCAGAGCTTAGGACCAGTGCTTGTGTTCAAGTTACCCTTGTTTTATTTAATAATGGCCCCAAGCACAAGAGTAGCGCTGATGACATATCATTGTAATTGTTCTCCTTTATTATTAGTTACTGTAGTTAATCTCTTTCTGTGCCTAATTCATGAATTAAACTTTATCGTAGGTACATGTGCATTGCAAAAAACACACTATACGTATAGTTCAGTAATATCCCTGCTGTCAGGCACTCACTGGGGATGACGGAAAACAGCTGTAATAAAATAAATGGAAAATTGTCTTTAAATTATGGTATGTATTACCTTCAGTCACAATCCATAGTAAATAGACCGTGGTTCATTCATGTTCTCGCTGTTTACTGTAATAGTCTACAGACCTTCCACAGTGCGTTCAATACATAGTGTTCAAGGATGGAAGTTTCCGCCTACAACTTATGTTCATAGATGGAGCACAGATGTTCAAAATGTGTTTTTATGTTTTTTTTCCCATAGGTACAGTAGAATTTTTTTAATATAATGAATGCCAGCAGGATATATAACACCATTTACTTGTGCTAATAATGCATAGGATACATGAAAGAAATGCAAAGCATTAAGGAATGTATTTCCTAAAAATTATTTTGTTAAATTAGCTTTTAGTTCCAGTTTCTTATTACGAGATAGTTTACATTTTCAAAATGGAAATTGTGGACATATTTATAAGCACTTTAAAGAAAAAATATTTTATTGATTTTCTACAATCTAACAATTATCCTCCATTTGTGTGCTGGAATCTATTGGTAGATCACAGTACATACCAGTTTCCTGTTAACCAAAACTTAAATTGACAAGTTAGGATTGAGAACAATCTTGGTTTAATGAGACTAGGCATAAATCCAGTAGTTAGCTTGAATCCAGTAAGTTAATTTGACAAGGTTTTTTTTAATGTTATTTTACAGTACTTTAAATCTGAAAAAAATCATAAAAAGAAAAGGTTTTAACATTTATATGAGTTAACATTTTTGAATAGTACTTATTTCTTAAATGGAATTTTTTTACTGACGTACTATGTATTTGTCTTAAAAAACAAAATCAAAAAAGTTTAGATTATTGTACTTTGAGTTGGAAGAAACTAGTTGCAAAAGTTCATTACTATCTGTTATTACTTAGTGATATATTGATAGTTAATAAAATAATGATGCAGTAGCACTCCTTTCAGAGGTCACCAGCAACTTTAAATATGATTAAAATATAAAAATAGGGAAGAAAAATAAGCATTCTAAAGCTTCTGTGTAGCAAAAACAGAGTCAGATGTCAAATACCCATTCTTGAAGCCCATTCAGTTTACTATAAGATTACCTGCTCCCCCTTCTTCAAAGCTGACCCTCTTAGAAATAGTTTTATTAATAACTAGCTTAGTTTTCTGGCTTCCCAACCTAAAGTAGTTGTGACTGTAATCTGACCACTATCTGTTAGCACAAGAGCTTCCAAATTGATCTTCCTTCAGTTTCTTCCTTGCTCAACACACAGCCCTCCCTAAAGTGCAGGTAAAAGGAATGCCTTACCTTGAGAGAACCATAGTTCATCAAAGGCTTATGTCATTACTTAGCTCTACTCCAGCTTCTATATTAAAGGAGATAAGGGTAACAGCAAATGGGCGTATTTAACCAAAGCAAGAAGTAATCTCTGACGATTAAGTGTGACCAAAAAGTAAATAAATAACAAGTTGACAATTTTTAAAATATAGCCATACTGGGTTATTTATAATAGTGCCGATACTCACCTCAGTAAACATCTAGGATATCATGCTCCACTAGAAAACTAAGCGGTTCATATTGCCAATGAAGAATATTAAATAAGACAACATTGTTATACTATGCATGGTCTATTTCGAAGTTCAAGGAGGCATGTTTCACAGTTTTCCAACCATGGTAATTAAAATGCAGTTTTAGACTTTACAAGGGTAAATATCACTTGAATGCTTCGTTTCTGATGCCAGAGAAGATCTGTCACGTTTCAACAAGGTCTGGGCCTTGGTTTTTCACTAATCCAGATCAGTCATACTCTCACGTGAGAAGTACACTTGCCATTTAACCAGAATGCTGTGATATTTTATACGTTTTCAAAGATTAAGTGAGGAGACAAGCCTATCATTATGAATATTGGAACATGTGAATCGTATCCAATTCTGATATGTCTTAAACCGCTCTGTCTAGTGGCAGATGTCACTTTCATGTCTGTACAACAAAAAAATAAAAATCTTTTCCAAAGGGCTGTATTTTGCTTTCATTCCAGCATTTGACAATTAATTTGCCAAGGATGACCACTGCCATTTATTCATTGCTCGCTTACTTCAGGTGCTTACCTTTTTGTAGACAACCACAGACACACAGAAAGGAGGAAGAACTTCAAACTACATGGGGTTTTTTTGTTGTTTTGTTTTTGTTTTTGCTTTTTTTTTTTTTTTTTTTTAGTTTATGAGAGGGATGTGTGCTTACAAGAGACAGAAAGTACCACCATAGGGAATGGTCTCTTCCCCACCATTTCTCCCTATTTTCAGGATATTGGACATTGGGTACACACATATAAGTGCCCAGTATGTTTTTCAAGTTCCCAGTCCAAGACTCAAACCCTGCGATCAGCCATGTAGGATCTAGCTGCCTTCACCACCATGCCATAGATTAGCCAGTTCCAGAAAGTGCCACCAGAGGGCAGTGTGCCTTCAACTCACTGTCACTCACGTCTGTACTGGCTGATACTGTGAGTTTCTTCCAGTAGAGCCAACTCTTGGCCTAATTTGGGATGTTACCAGCCGAAATCGGGGTGTGTATGTTTGCTTCAAATGTCATAGTAAACTTAACTTTATAGTAATTTTAACCCTAAAATAAATTATACAATAAGATATGGATTTTTCCCGCAGAAATGAAACTTTGAGCTATAGGCACTCTGTAAATCGCAGGTAATCTATGAATAGCAAGCTATCTTCTTTGGCTGAGATTTAAGTTACTTGTTCCCCTGACCCCTCACCACCACTCACACCACCACCACGACTTCTCATGGAAAAATCAGTTTGAGTACCTATTTGAAACTTGGACTGGGTCCTGCTTGCACAAATTATCAACACTTACCAATTAGTCTCAAACTGATTAACTGAGATTTAAAAAAAAAAAAAAAAAATCTGTTCATTGGGCTAGCCCATGGCCTGGAGGTTAAGAGAGCCAGATTCCACATGGTCGGCCATGCAGTGTGAATCCCAGCCCTAGCGACTTGAAAAACATACAGGGCATTGCATGCATGCTCCAAATCCCAACAGCATGGAGAAATACAGGAGAAGCAATGATGGTAGGACCATGCCCTGCTTGAGGGTTCTTTCTCCCTCTTCCACTCTCCTCCTCTGGCAAACACACACACCCTCTGGCAATGAAAAGAATTGCTTGTCTCCCAGAAATTGAAGTTTCCTGAGTTTGTTCATAACTCCACAGGGAAAAACATTTACCGTTCAGCTTATTGAAACACCCTCTACTTGCAAAACAACCCTCCCTGTAAATCACTTTACCTGCCTCTTGTTTATCCCTCTCTCTGAAACTCGATGATACAGTCTTACCTTTGGATCTGAGTGCTTTCCCATTGCTGTAGCCTGAATAAAATGATTGCCGTGGCCCAGCTGCAGCAGTGCCATAGTGGTCCAATGTTCTGCGGTATTGGAGGCCCACATGGAGAATCGGGGTTTAGGGCCAGCTCTATAGCCTCGCAGCTAAGGGAAACAGATCTCACATAGCCAACCACAGGGTTTGAATCCCATTTTCAGTGGCTTGGAAAACACACCAGGAGCACGTGTGTGCATGACAGGGTGGATCAATCGAGAACCATACCCCACTGGCGATCCTTTCTTCAGCTCCCTCTCCAGTACAGCTGTGTATCACTCAGTAACGAGGCTATCTTCTGAGAAATACATGATCAGGGAATTTCATCATTGTACAGACAGAGTATACTTAAATAGCCCAGGTTGGGTAGCCTATATGCACCTAGGCTGTATGGTATATAGTCTACTGCTCCTAGGCTACAAACCTGTACATCATGTTGTTGTACTAAATACTACAGGCACTAAATATAATTCAAACACACAACTTTTTTTTTTGTGAGAGCCTTTTGCTACAGGGCGCATGCGCTCGCCAGAAAGACAGAGAGAGACAGAGAGACAGAAAGTGAGAAATCACCCCTCCTCCCCCAGGGGGAATGGCCACGCCACAATCCCTTCTCCTCCATTCTCTTCTCAGGATCTTGGGCACGTACGCACACGTACCCAGTGTGAGTTTAAGCCACCGGATCTGTGACTTGAACTGAAGTCGACTACCTGGGAGTCCAGGGACATAGCCATTATGCCAACTGCTGGTCCTCATAACTTTTTTTTAATTCCAGAGAGTGAATGAGCATGTATGAGAGAGTGAAAGAGACAGAGACAGAGAATCTTCCAATGGGGGTCTGGTCATGCCATAACCCCTTTTCCATTTCTCAAGTCTGTTAGGATCTTGGGCGTGCACATGCACACACGCACACATGCACACACACAAGCACCAGGTGTATTTTTCAAGCTGCCAGGATGGGGATTAGAACTGCAATCAGTCATGTGGGATTCCAGCTCCTTCACCACTAGGCTATGGGGTAGCACCCGTGAACATAATTTTTTTTTTTGAGAGAGATTTTTTACTATAGGGCGCGTGCGCTCACCAGACAGACAGAGAGAGGCATAGAGACAGAAAGCGAGAAATCCCCCCCCAGGGGGGTGGTCACGCCGCAATCCCTTCTCCATTCTCCTCTCAGGATCTTGGGCACGCACGCACACGCGCCCAGCGTGAGTTTTAAGCCACCCGGTCCGGGACGCAAATTGCAGTTGACTACGTGGGAGTCCAGCGACATAGCCATTACGCTAACTGCTGGATCCCCCCGTGAACATAATCTTTACAGATGAAAAATTATGTATGACATATAATATCCTGAGGTACAATATATCAAGGATATACCAAGTGTATAGTTAGAATATACTAAGAGTGTAACAAGTTCATGAAATTAAGAAACTCAGTTAATCTGGATTAGGTCCATTTATAAATTAATAAATAAGCAATATGAATCCCCTGTTCAAAAGCACTGAATGAGAGGGTGCTACGATCAAATTAAAGGAAGTTGCTGCGGCTCACATAATTTTTTTTTTTTGAGAGGTTTTTGCTATGGGGCTCATGCACTCGCCAGAAAGACAGAGACAGAGAGACAGAAAGTGAGAAATCAACCCCCCAGGGGGCATGGCCATGCCACAATCCCTTCTCCTCCATTCTCCTCTCTGGATCTTGGGCACGCACGCACATGCGCCCGGCATGAGTTTAAGCCACCAGGTCTGGGACTTGAACCGTGGTCAGCTACATGGGAGTTCAGCGACACAGCCATTACACTGCTGGTCCCATATTTTTAAAAATAACTGAAACTATGACCAGTATCATAGTACTTTTTTGTCTAATATCAAGCGAAATATCACCAAACTCTGATAAATAGGATCATACCATCCGTGAAGATACTGAAAGTTTTCTAAGAATATCTCATACAACATACAATTTTTAAAAAAATCATGTTAATAGCATTTTACCCACACAAATTTAGCACAGGGAAGGTTAAGTACTGACTTAACTTTCCCTTGGAACTCATCAGTTGTAACATATAAAATAAACCTAGTTTAAGCACCTCCCTTTTCACAAGTTAATGAACAAATTCTTGGTGATTTTTCAGAGGCCTTCTGGAAAATCAGTTTTCAAAATATGTCTTTTAGGAGTTGATGAAGGCAAAATATCAGACGTTGTGAAGAGGTTCAAGCACTTGATTAAACAGTATTGCAGGGTGCAGGGAAATGATACTTGGCTGTCTAGTTAACCAAAATGGCAAGAAGGTGTACATAGGAGGTACACAATTGTAAAAACAAAACAAACAAAAAAAAAACTTTGCTTCTTTCAAAAATAAGAAGACTTTGCTCTCTTAAATATCAAGGGCTTGACAAAGTAAACACAAAGCACAGGGAAATTATTCTCCTAAAACAAAGAACCTTTGTTGTGTATGTAGATTACACAGAAAGTAAAGAAATATTTTACAGAGAAGGTAAAGAAACATTTTGTACTCCCTCTTACTAAAAGCAGACAAGAAATTAAAAAAAAAAAAACAAAAAACAGAAAAAAAAACCCAGAATTTTAACAGGAAGATAACCAAATTCTAGTTTCAGATCGGTGTAATATTTGATATTGAAACTAATTCTGGGGCCAGCTTTGTACCTTTCTGGTGAAAAGAGCCTGAATCCCACAGAGCCAACTGCCGTCTGAATCCTGGCCCTGGCGGCTTGAAAAGCACACAGGCATGTGTGCCGTCTTTCCCCAAGTCCTGATGGGACAGAGAAATGGAGGAGAAGGAATTATGGCACGACCATGTCTCATTGAGAGATGTTCCCCCTCTCCTTCTCTTTTGCTATCTCTCTGTCTGTCTCTGATGAGGGTACACTCCCTCTGGCAATTAAAAACAAAAACAAAAGATTTCATTCTGACAGTCTTATAAACAAACCCTTAAACTTGAGCCAACTTTGATCCCTACGAATAAAATGTCCTTTCTGTGAACCTTCTACAACTTTCTATATCTATTCAGATTTCTTCCTCAACTTCTATTATCTCATTCTGGAACAAAGATTCATATTACTTTAGCACTGGGACCAGCAGTTAGCTTAATGGCTATGTCGCTGGACTCCCACGTAGTCAACCGCGGTTTGAGTCCCCGAACCTAG